ATGGCGTCCGAAAAGTAGCAGGGAACAGGGCTGAGGAACGCGGCCGGTGACGTGAGCTGGACGACGCAGAGAGAACCTTTTAAAATTATTGCCTTCGTGACAGCCTTTGTCAGGATACGCGAGGATACGGCAGAATACGTCTGGATACGTCAAGAATACACCAGGATACGGCAGAATAAGTCTGGGTACGTCAAGATACGGCAGGGACCGGCAGAATACGCTATGATATGATATGATAGAATATGACAGGATCCGGCAAAATGCGCCAGGATACGATGAAAAACATCAGGATTCGATATAATACGACAGGAAACGACAGGATACGGCAGGATACCACAGAATACGTCTGGATACGTTAAGAAACGACAAGATGCGGTAGAATACGTCAAGATACGGTGGGATACGACAAGATACGGTAGAATACGTCAAGATACGGCAGGATACGGCAGGATGCGGCTGAATACGTCAGGATACGGCATTTTAGGGCAAGATGTTTCAGGATTTGTAATGTTCGACAGAATCCGTCATGATTCGTTAGAAAATGGCACTATATAAAGTGGAAATTCCAGAATACGTAAGGATACGGCAGAATACGGAGGAATACGCCAGGATACGTCAGGATACGGAGGAATACGTGAGGATACGTAACGATACGGCAGGATACGGCAGGATGGCTTGAGAAAGCCTCATCGTCGCTTCCTCATAAGAGCGCCATGCTTATGAGAAATTGGCAGTAGCACGACGGCAGCACTCACAATACCAGCTCATGCCTAATGAGGTGCTACTGAGGCAGCGCTCTCTGTCACGTTATGAGGCATGCGAGGCATGCCACATGATATTTTCAGTTTGAATTAATATATATCCAACAAATATAACATTCACATTATGGTACCTAGATGTTTAAGATCCAAGTTTCGAAATTTTCATTTACTCGTTAGGTTAGTGGATTATTTCCTAATTTTTTTCTTCAACATGATGGAATTGAAATAAATTATGACATTTCAGGCTTTGCATACACTTTTGCTTATACTTTGTAGTACTTCAATTAATGTTGCCCGCATGATTTAATTTGAATGAAATTAATTTGTCTTTACTTTGCCCTGTCCATGGAACGTAAGTTAATGCGGCAGTGAACATTGCCTTACTGACTGGACCATGAGTGGCAGAGGGTGAGTGGTCGCGAGAGGGAGAGATTGGCCACAGAGGAAAGGTGAGTGGCATGGAGGTAGAGGGTGAGTAGTCTAGAGAAGAGGGTGGATTGCCTAAATAGGAAGAGGAAGATATATAGGTAATAAGAGAGAGTGGTCTAGAGAGGGAGAGATTGGCCACAGAGGAAGGGTGAGTGGCATGGAGGTAGAGGGAGAGTAGTCTAGAAGAGAAGAGGGTGGATTGCCTAGATAGGAAGAGAAAGAGACATATAGGTAATAAGAGAGAGTGGTCTAGAGAGGGGGAGATTAGCCACAGAGGAAGGGTGAGTGGCATGGAGGTAGAGGGTGAGTAGTCTATAGAGAAGAAGAGGGTTGATTGCCTAGATAGGAAGGGAGAGAGACATATAGGTAATAAGAGAGAGTGGTCTAGAGAGGGAGAGTGGGTGGCTTATTGAGGGAGAGTGATATTGGTCATGAGGTATAGCGTGAATTAAGGATCTGGAGTGGGAGCGTTAGTGGCTAAGAGAGGCAGCGGGGGCTGCTTATAGAGCGTATGGAGGGAGTGTGATCGGCCTTGAGGTATAGAGTGAGGAGTGTAGAGAGGGAGCGTGAGGCAGAGGGATAGTGAAGCAGTTAGAGCGTGAGGCGGAGAGAGTGAATGGGTAGTGTGAAGCAGAGCGAGAGGGTAAGGGTAATGTGAGGCAGAGGGAGTGTATGGGTAGTGTGAGGCAGAGGGAGTGTATATATGGGTAGTGTGAGGCAGAGGGAGTGTATGGGTAGTGTGAGGCAGAGGGAGTGTATGTGTAGTGTGAGGCAGAGGGAGGGTAAGGGTAATGTGAGGGGAGAGTGACGACGGCTAAGCTCAGAAGTGTGCAATAAAGAGTATCTCATGTCATGCCTCTTCTAACAGGTGTGGTGTCTAAGCTGAAGTCTTCCAAAGAAATGATTCGCCACATTTTTTAAATTTCTTAGAAAATTAACATAATAAATAGCTTGCATATTTTGTAATTTTAGTCTAAAATGCAGACTACGTAACGATTTTCAGTTAAAACATTACTTGCATGCCGTTTTAGTGTTGTATTCGCGTGTTTATTTGTGCCAAAATTCTTAAATTTCGTTGATTTCCTTCATTTATTCTACATTTATCATACCTCTTGTTCTTTGCTAAATAATGAAGTTGTCTGTTTCAGCATTTAAAAATTTAGTGTTCATTTCACACACATCAAGTAGCAACTTCGCTTTTAAACACTATTTCTACACCCGCCTTTAACACACAAGTTCCTTCAGCTGCGATTTAAGTAATAAGCTTCGTTCGTCAGCCGTTCTCTTTAAGTAGCTGTTACTTTCACCTGCCGTTAAATTGCCCGTTGCTTAAGCTGCCGTTAAGTCGCCCGTTGCTTGAGCTGCCGTTAAGTCGCCCGTTGCTTAAGCTGCCGTTAGGTCACCTAGTGCTTTTTTCCTGCAATCTGTTCATTGAGCTGCCGTTAAGTCGCCCGTTACTTGAGCTGCCGTTAATGCTTAGTCGCCCGTTCCTTGAGCTGCGTTAAGTCGCCCGTTGCTTGAGCTGCCGTTAAGTCGCCAGTTGCTTGAGCTGCCGTTAAGTCGCCCGTTGCATTCGACTGCCGTTAAGTCGCCCGTTGCTTTCGACCGCCGCTTAGTCGCCCGTTGCTTTCGACCGCCGCTTAGTCGCCCGTTCCTTGAGCTGCGTTAAGTCCCCAGGAATTATCGACCCCTCAAGCGGAAGAGTCAAAACCAAGACGCAGGCCGCTTGTTCACGGCACACACAATTTTACTCGCCCGCTCGTTATGACTTATTTTGGCAGGTCGCAGCTCTAGAGGCTACATTCGACGCTGATTTTGATCCTTACGCCGGTTTATTATAAGGGTCATTCTAGTGGCGCAAGATCGGAGCTATCGGGCGCGGCTTGGGAAAGCGTTCGACCGCCCATTTTTGAGAGGGAAGAAGAGGGGCGGTGGCAATAAAGAGCAGCGGCAGGAGCAACGCGGTCTGCAGTACATAATTAAGAGCAGGGATATTAAGAGTATCAGGAGTTACGGTAATAGCTGTGTGTGCAGGTCAGTAGCATTAGAAACTTTAACACAATCAGCGGTCCAACCTCTTGTATCAAGGTCCGCAGCGGTGCCAGTAGTGGTTTCAGTATAGCTTAATTACTCCGACAAAATATTGAGCAACAACATGGCTCCGATAAAATGACAACGGCTACGAATCTTATGACTTTCTGCCTCGAAAATAAATTTCATCATTATCATTGAAATGCTCATGACACGACAATTTAAGAATGAGATATGTAGAAAATAGGAGGACGCAATTTGAGCTGGCAAAAATTTTTAATGATTAAATTCATTGATTTAGAGATATAGTCAATAAGTCGTTCATCATTCAACTGTTTATGTGACCCTGCTAATTTCAGGTACGAAGGCCGAATTTAAGGCCATCTTTCAAACAATATAAAGCCCAGAAAAATTCGCCGAGATTGTCGCCCCGTGGGAGTGAAGCCATTGGCTTACTGCGACCATAACATGGCGGAAGCTCCCGTAGAGTGGCGCGAGGGGAGCTTTGTCTCGACGCCAGCGATTCCCTTGACCAATTTGCTACGGCTGCTGAGGGCCACGGTGGCATATTATTGGGCCTTCATGAGCACCAGCCTACAGCATGAATTGTGGGCCCAGGCCCTGCATTATTGGGCCTTCATGAGCACCAGCACACTGCATGAATTGTGGGCCCAGGCCCCTGCATTATTGGGCCTTCATGAGCAACATCATGTACGATCAAAACGGCTATGATCAAGTAATGGCTACGATCAAGTAATGGCTACGATCAAGTAATGGCTACGATCAAGTATATGGCAATAAAGATCACATTAACGGTACTCATTGCAATCGAGTACAGTAGCAGCACGACGTTTTTTAAATTCACATACATTACATAGAATTAGAAAAATAATCGAGAATGAAGGGTTGCATGCAAGTTTTACACATGTTAATGAAAATAATTGTGTTAATTGCGTTAGTAAAACATTGCATGTTGCATGGTTATCGTTAAAATAATACATTTATGTATCTAAAATTTATGAGTGCCGTAATATATCAAAAGTGTCGCCAATTGGAAAATATGATTGTTAGCCTATTAATTGCAATGAATAATGCACATATTGAATAAAATATTGAATCAATTTGAATTAAATATTGGTTAAAATAAAAAAATATCTTGATAAACGAAACACTCACTTACTTGTTGACTCAGTCGTATATTCCTGTCATGGAAGACTCACTAATTTCAACTGCTTTTTTCATTGTGGAGTTTGTAACGTTCTTTTAGTATTTCTCAACTCGTAAAATTTATTTTTTCACTCAATCGGACTTCATGTTTTAACTATATGTTGCAGTAGCGAGTGATAACTCGGTAGTAAAGAGTGATAATTATATGCACAGAGTTATCTAATTATCTAAAGAGCAATATATATTGTAGCACTATTATAATTCACATATTTCTTTAATATGGTGTTGTCCTAGAGTATAATTTTCCAACGGTTGGCCTTCAATTAATGATCTCCTGAAAGGTATGACTATTCCTTCATATTTTACCCACTCAATGTCCTGGATCACATCACTCACCTTCAACATTATTATTTAATTCTAGTACTTATACAAGCATTAAGGTGCTGCTCATTGAACTCCAGGATTGCTCCATGCCCCGGAGTGCTGCCAATTGAACTCCAGGTTGCTCCATGCCCTGGAGTGCTATCCATTTAACCCCAGGTTAACCCTATGCCCTGGAGTGCTACACATAGATCTCCAGACTCACTCCATGTACTGGAGAAGTTGTCTTACCTGGAGAGGATCTTGGAGACGCAGCCATGTGATACGCGCAGCTGGCGCGAGATATCGCAGGGACGCACGCCGTTATGCGCGAGCTCGACTATGCGCTGACGCACCATGTCCGGCAGCGGCCGACCGTTCACGAAGACCCCACCAAGCTGGTTGACACCTCCGTGACCTGCTGGGACAAGTCGGGCTTGAGGATTTGGGACTTGAGGACATGATTGTTGTAAATATTTTAGGACGCTGTCCTTATGTCTTTCCATTGAGGTTGTTGACCTTAGGACGCTGTCCTTATGTCTTTCCATTGAGGTCGTTGACCTAGCGTCTGAGGTATTGAGACTTGAGGACATGATTGTTGTAAATATTTTAGGATGCTGTCCTTATGTCTTTCCATTGAGGTCGTTGACCTAGCGTCTGAGGTATTGAGACTTGAGGACATGATTGTTGTAAATATTTTAAGACGCTGTACTTATGTCTTTCCATTGAGGTTGTCGACCTAGCGTCTGAGGTATTGAGACTTGAGGACATGATTGTTGTAAATATTTTTGGATGCTGTCCTTATGTCTTTCCATTGAGGTTGTCGACTTAGTGTCTGAGGTGATGATATTGAGACTTGAGGTCATGATTGTTGTAAATATTTTAGGACGCTGTACTTATGTCTTTCCATTGAGGTTGTCGACCTAGCGTCTGAGGTGATGATATTGAGACTTGGGGACATGATTGTTGTTATGATTTTAGGACGCTGTCCTTATATGTCTTTCCATTGAGGTTGTTGATGTTGATCTAGCGTCTGAGGTATTGAGACTTGAGGACATGATTGTTGGAAATATTTTAGGACGCTGTCCTTATACGTCTTTCCATTTGCATGAGGTTGTCGATCTAGCGTCTGAGGTGATGATATTGAGACTTGAGGACATGATTGTTGTAAATATTTTGGGATTTGAATGATTTTACGGGACACGTGGGGCTGTGTGACTTTGCTCGGTGGGGATTTGGGACAGTGTGACTTACGGCGTTAGGACTTTTTGCATTGAGAGGGGAACATGACTTGTCGGGATTATCTGGGGTTTAGGACTTGGGTGGGTGTAGACTTGAGGGTTGGTGGGGAGGGTGCGATTTAAGGACGTGATGGTCATTGTGACTTTAGGACTTCGGGGTAACGTGACGTGACGGGAGTTTTGGACAACAAAGAGAAGTTTTAACTATATGACTGGTGTTATATGCCTCTAGGGTGGAGAGGAGCAGGTAAGTTTTTAAGACTGGTGAGCGGTTATGACTTTAGGACTGGTGAGCGGTTATGACTTTAGGACTGGTGGGCGGTTATGACTTTAGGACTGGTGGGCGGTTATGAATTTGACTGGTGAGCGGGTATGACTTTAGGGTTGATGAGCGGTTGACTTTGGGACTGTGGGGAGATATTATCCTGTAAGAATATGAGAAGTTTTGACGTGATTGTGGTGAACGATTCAAGCGACCCAGAAGAGTAACGGCACGCACCAACGAGGGGCCGATAATAAAAATTATTGTCACGACATGAAATCGCTTTGCGCAGCTAATAAAATATATTGTTACGCACAAGTTATAAAAAAATTATATCAAGTCAAATAAAAGAACGTTCAACAAAATAACAGCATGTAAGAAGCAAAAATATAAGAATACAAATAAAATACGAAACAATCATAATAAGTAAAATAGAATGCAAGAATCATGATGACATGAAAATCAATAAAAGAAGACTAAATTAAATTGGGTTGGTAGTAGAATCTAATGTAGAATTGAAAAGTATTAAAAGAAATTGTAGATGTAGGAGAGGCAGGTGTGTGGAAACCATACATGTAGGAAAGTTTGAGGCGATGTGAAAGGAAAAGGAAGATAGTAAAGGTAGCAGGATAAGGAGTTGAAGGGAAGGAAGGGGAGGATTGAAGTACATGTAAGAGTTGTAGGTTATTTAGGAGGAGTATAAGTCATGGCAGGTGTAGAATAGGCATGGGTGGAGTATGAGGTATAGGAGGTGTAGGAAGCATAGGAGGCATAGGAGGCATAGGAGATGTAGGAGGCACAAGAGGTGTAGGAGGTATAGAAGGTATAGGAGGTATAGGAGGTGTAGGAGGCGCAGGAGGTGTAGGAGGAATAGTGGAGTAGTAGGTGTAGGAGATATAGGAGGTATAGGAGGTANCCTAATACATCACTATTTATGCCGATGTGCAGTTAATACATCACTATTTATGCCGCTGTGCAGTTAATACATCACTATTTATGCCGATGTGCACCTAATACATCACTATTTATGCCGATGTGCACTTAATACATCACTATTTATGCCGATGTGCTCTTAATACTTCACTATTTATGCCGATGTGCTCTTAATACTTCACTATTTATGCCGCTGTGCAGTTAATACATCACTATTTATGCCGCTGCGCAGTTAATACATAATACATCACTATTTATGCCGCTGCGCAGCTAATACATCACTATTTATGCCGCTGCACAGTTAATACATCACTATTTATGCCGATATGCAGTTACTACGCAATATCACATGAAAATGCCTTATTTCATCCTGTAAATTCACTGAACGATTACAGTTGTTCAAACTGTGAAACGAAGTAATTAATATCTGTGAACAGAGATCTTACCGGGATAGATAAAAATAATTTGAATCAATATATTTTTCGGTCGACTTCGGTCCTGTACCAGGGCATGAAATTCTGAATTTCAATTAAACATCCCGAAAAGAATGACTCCAAGTGCAGCGATAGATTTGAAATTTTTTTGGTGGCTGGTTATGGAATTTTTATTTGATTGCCAGTTTTTATCGTGATTGTCTGGTTCGATAATTTTATAGTGATTGCAGGGTTCGGCAATATGATCGTAATTACTATGCTCGAAACTTTGACTGTGAATGCAATTTCAACTATTTGATCGTGATTGTTATGTTCGACGATTTGGTCGTGATTGTTATGTTCGAAAATTCGATCGTGATTGTTATATATTCGATAATTTGATCGTGATTGTTATGTTCAACTATTTGATCGTGATTGTTATGTTCGAATATAAAACTTCTATCTCGAAAGTTATTTTAAATTTACAGACAGCAATAAAGGCCAAATTAGGTGAAGTTTAATTATTTGTGGTTTTCATTTAGTAATCATGAAATTACTGAAATTCAGTGTAATCAGTCAGCAATTATGCACACTCCATGAGCATGAATTCTGACTAAACAATAAAGCATTAAATTAAAAACTCAGCATAAGGTAAATCACATGAAATGCATTTAGGTTCAGAAGATTGAAGATAGTTCGCTAAATTTGCATAAGTCGACGCCGTCCCGAAGTCGCTGACACTCAGTTTAGTTCAGCGCCGAGAGCGGACGTCAGCGGGTTCCTTGACGGATAGTTGGGGATGCTCGTTGCGGTGTCGGTCTTGGCTAATGAAAGGCAAGGGCTTAAAGTGACACCTCGACTAGCTCGTCAAGACGCCATGCGACAACTCAAGCGTCAAGTCGACTCATGAGCAGTGCGCTAAACACAGACTTGCGAGACCGACGGTGTAGTTGCAGCAAGCAATTACGACCTCGGTCGTGGCTTGCACTGCGCTCCTACTTCTGAACTGCGCTCGCTCTAAACATGGCCGTATTTCTACGGGAATAAATCGATGCAGGTGGTAATTTTATTCTCATAAATGCTCTGCAGCTGGACGTAATTTTCAAACGACTTTTCTTTGCAAAAAAATTATGCACATTAACAAACCTTCTATGGCGCCTGATAAATGGACTTTTTGTCTCTGGTTCATGAAGGTAATTGTTACAAAAACTGTTTTTTTTCTAATTTTGTACACTTTAAAAAAATGTACTGAGATTAGATTCTTTGTTGTTGATTTCTAACTCACCTTTTCGAAGAGTATCGAAGTGATATTTACTATACACAGATTTCAGCTTCAAAATCTAAGTGCTTTAAGTGTCACGACGATCTCAGTCCTATATGGGAAGTAGAAAATACTCAATAGGTATTTATAGGTCAGTGGTCTATAAATGACAGAGAGCTCCTCATGTATTTAAGATTTAATTACTCTCTACGAAGTAACGAATATCTATAGAAATATTTGTAATCTCTAATTTTTTATTAATAGAATGTAAGGACCAAAACAGCTCCAATGAAAGTAAAAAATGAAAAAACTAAAAAAATGCCAGTAGCATAATAGGAAACTGAAATGAAATTTGTTTCAAATAAAAGTTCCGTTGCTGTAACAAGTTTGAGTCCACGATGACTACGAGGCGTGAAGAGTTGTACACGGAGTTAACTTCCGGGCTTTGGCTCTCGATATTCCAAGGGGCAGCTTCCGAGGCTTGCAGGGTCAGCGGCTCCGGCGACGTCGGCGGGGACGTACTGCAACATTTGTCGGAAGTGACACGGCAGCTTGAATTATTCCTTACACGGACTAATTTTTCAACACTTTCCGCGTCAATTCACCTACTCATCCACGAATGAGTTGCAAGAAAAATGTTATCCATGATAAATTTCAAGACTCGTTTGATTTGTGGTCCCCCGGTAAGCATTTTACTGTTTAGTTCATCTCTCACACGAAGAAATTTCAAGAGAATATGAATTTTGTGGTTATTGAAATAAATTATTGGTCAATGCTCATTTTATTTTACCGTTATCTACCGAGGGCATATTATTTGGTAAGAATAATACTGTGCACTTATTAATGATATGTACGCAACGGCTTAATCACATTATTTCTAGTGCCGATGCATGAACGAGTTTCTGTCAAATGTCATACTTTCCGCGGGCGGTTTCCTCAAAGATTTCATGACGTAAAATTATAATGCTACGCAAGATATTGGACACATGTCATATCATACCAAATGCCCTTAGCTAATTTGGATAATTTTGAAACTGAAGAGTTCATACGAACGCGAAATTCGCTTTTGTTTAAGTTTCATGATTTATGGAAGCCATTGTAAGATGAGTAGAGAAGGCGGCCATCAGTTAGGCTGTCATTTACCGAGTACAGATGCAGGCAAAGCATGGTTTTGCCTGCTCGTGATGCGCTCCATCGAAACAAAAATAAATTCCCTCTCGTTCCTTCACAAAGCAGCTCAGTTCGTGGCCAGCGTAGCGCGCAGCCCTCGCCGAAAATGTGCGACGCAGACGCTGCGGTAGCTGCGCT